CAAAGCACAGCGCTTTTCGCTAACTTCTGGGTGGCTAAGAAAGAATATAATACTTACTTCATCTGCAGCTTCTCTAAACTGTTCATCAAGCTCTTCTTCGTCTTCCAAAATACCTAAAATAGCGTCAAAATCGTCTCCAATGATAAACAAATCGTTCGTGTCCGCCATATTGTTTGGGAATGAACGTTTGGCGTGTGCACGGTCAATGTCACGTGACGGTGCAATTCAACCTCAAACGCGAAACAAAAAGCCGGCCCTTTGAAGTTTGCCGGGTTTCACAACCAGTCCCCTCCACTAACTATGCACGGTTTTTTAACCTTTTGTAGGCTGAAAAAAGTATTTACCAAATCGTATAATGGGTTTAAGTTAAGAACTGTTTTATTATCGCTATTTAACTTGCAATGCCAAGTCGCATGACGCTGGTGTGTTCACTGAATCTTCATCTAACTGAAGCAAGAGAATACGATGACTGAAATCAGTATGCTTTGCAGATTCCTTTCCCTAGGCACGTCCACTGATTAGTTTTACTTTCTAATTTTATTCCTTCTTCCTTTTTTTTGCCAACGTTTGTCATGCTGCACCTTATTTCTTGATGTATAGTCTCTCATATCTGACCAAATAGAAATACTTCCTTACAAGTCAATTCAAAGTCGATCCAATCTGGCCATTCACTTAACTTCTGTTTTTATCATTCTCCCATGTACACAGTCCAGAGAAAATCAGAACCCCAGCACAAGGACATCGTCCACTTGTGGGAGTTCTTATTTGAACTTCTCGCAGACGAAAGCTGCGGCTCAATAATAACTTGGACCACAGAGGAGAATCGAGAGTTCAAGTTGAAAAACCCCGAGCAAGTAGCAAAACTATGGGGTGCTTACAAAGGTGTAAAAGCAATGAATTACGAGAAACTCAGCCGAGCACTGCGCACGTACTATTCAAAAGGAATCATTGTAAAGGTTAGTAAAATTGCAAATATTTCATTGTTGAGACAACTCAATGTGCATGTGGTTATATTGATCCTCATTCGGAGAATCTTTCCCTGTTCAGATCTAGAGAACCCTTTCAGTTATCAAGACGATTCCATGTTTCGTTAGGCCTGGTTCACTAGCGACATAACGACGTAAACGAATAATGACATAACGACATAATTGCTTGTCGATAATGCGAACATCGACATTAAGACATAAGGGAAAAAAGGTTTTTTTTTTCCTTATGTCGTTATGTTCGGCATGCTGTTATGTTGCTGTTATGTCATTAAGTCAGGTTGTTCACACTGCAAAGGTGAAAACATAACGACTGGACATAACGTCTTTCCTATATGTCGTTACGTTTACTAGGCCTAAATCTCAATCTATCTTCATTTTCGAACAAAAGGCTCTTTGGCATGAGTTACTGACATCTGTATATCCTGTGGATGACGTCATCTTACTCGTTGTATGATCACGTGGTGAGTGAACAGAATGGAACTGTCGCTAAGCAACTGACCGTACCGTGATATTGTGACAACCTTTACCCTACTCTCAAGTGTGATGTTACTAACAGCTTAGGAAAGTCCTCATGACAAAAAAGAAAATCAATTCTCCTTTAAAAACCCGGAGGAAAATGTATGAAGACTAACAAGAGATTTTCGATTTGGTGGAAGGCCTGACCGGCGCGCTGATTGCTATGGTCAACAGCAAACGAATAGATACTGTGTAGCGTCTTGAACTAGATAGATAAAGTAAGTATTCATGCGTCTGTCCTGTTACTGACAATGAATTTCGTCGTAACATCGTCAAAGTAGCTGTTGATCCACGGTGCAATAGCCGAGTGGATCCGCAGATTACCTTGACTATGTTATGACGAAATTCATTGTCAGTAACAGGACAGACGCATGGAAAACTGACGTCAATTTGTTTTTTACAACAACATTGTAATTGTGCTCTCGCTCGTTGCATAAATTATAAATTCATGTGTCTGTCCGCTAATAGACAATGAAAATTCTGTAATGAGCGCTCGAGAATTTTTGCAGTTATTGTAAACTTTTTTTTTTCCGGCGTTGACTTGTCAGATAACCTAACAGCCGGCGTTTCAGCATTACCACCTTCTTCTGGGTCCACAATCTCGTTATGGTTTCCTGTTCTACAATTTTTTTTTTTAATCCGCTCCTATCTGAAGCTTGACTCTCTCTTGCTCTTTGCAGATATCTGGCCAGAGGTTAACGTACAGGTTTGCCAAACTTCCCTACAAATACGAACCTGGTGTTACAAGATCTCGTCGTCACGGACACAGAATAAAAGCATGTATTCAGCAACACATGCCGCAACCCTCATCTTCATCTTGCCAAATAAACCCAGGCTCCTTGTCGTCGTCAATTTCCAGCGTCAGTACCCGTCTTAGGAAAAGCTGTTCCTGGCCCCTCGTTCCCATGCCTTCGCATTCCATCTCGTGGAATCCAGGGTCCACGCCACTAATTTCTGATTGCTCAGAGTCTAGGATCATGTTCCCGCCGTTTGCAGCTGATCCGATGACGTTATCATCGTCATCGTTATCGTCTCTCGTGTCATTTGTTTTAAATGATCCGATTGAATGTCTTGGTCCGCTAGTTCAAGACATGAGAACCAGTAAACCTAAGTCAATAGCTGTTCCAGTAATCAAGTGGAACATTCGCCGCTCATGAAACTGCATGAAGTAAGACTAGACCAACAGAGACAAGGAGGCTACTCGCAAGTAAGATACTAATCAATGCGTGGGGTTGAATGAGATTATAAGAAAGTTTATATAATATTTAAGATAGAAAGCGCGCTCTCAATGGTCGAAGGTGTGTTTGGATGAGAGTATTTAAACTTTGCTTTTCGAAAGCAATAGGGGACTTCTTTCTGTTTACACAGCGTCATCTAAACACTTGAAAGTTATGCAAACCCTAGACTTCGCCTTAGCACATCATAGTCTCATAGTTTACATAACTGTCTAGAATTCTTCCAATCCCCTCGTGCTTAGATGTAAAAAAAAGGAAAAAAAAGTCCTCTTTTTATTGCTTAAACTTTGGACAGCTTATTCTTCGATAGTACAGCACTTAAGACTAGTAGAAAGAATATCGCTGTTTGTTGGATGAAACAATTATGTAAACGTCAAATTAAAAGAAAATTTCAGTATTTCCGTGCAGGGCAACACTTAAAATGACGAGGCACCTTAGTTCCAAGGCCTCATCCGCTGCGGCCGCCCATGAAGTGATAGGCTCCCGGCCGCAGTCAATCTTTTTTCGGGTCACGTGGTCCGTGCAAAAAAGTGGCCTAGCCGTTCGCTGAACGTCGTCGAAAAAATGTCCTATTATACTGTCCTATTATGTTTTATTATGTCCCATTATGTCCTATTACAACGTCCTATTATGTCCTATTGTCCTATTATAATGTCCTATTATATAATAAAATGGCCTTTTATGACCTATTATTGCTCTATTATGATGTCCTATTATAATGTCCTACTATAATGTCCTATTATACATGACCTATTATAGAAAAATTAGTGTGTAATATTTACGCACCAACACTGGATGAAAAGAATTTTAAAACATCCTAGATCCGAATCGATGCATTGTCTTTGCTACATCGCTACTTTTGGGGCACCTGCTAAATTGTATCGCTTCTTTTGGAAAGGGGGTCGATACTTTTGGAACTTTAAAGCGGTGTCATTAAAGCGTTTCTCGACGAACGAATGCAGCAAATCAAGCTGACCAAGCTGGACCTCGCGATTACCTCGTTATTGGTCTTTCTATCGTTTTCTATCATTTGCAATATTTGAAACACATTTTACTAGCCCTTTGTCACAGTTGTAATGGGGACAACCTCTGGATATGTGCTCTTATTCGATCGAAGAACTTGTTTCAAAATGGTTTTCTGTTCAACGAGTCCACACTAAAGTAAAAGAAACCAAAACGTGGCTTATCTAACCTTGTTTATAGATATCGCGATCGGTAACGTCAGCGTTTTGGTATTTACCTGGTTGTGTGACGTAGTTTGCTAGCAATTAACAAAAGCAATGTTTGTAGAGGAACACAAAACCCACGTACTTGAAACACCATGGGAGGAGAATTCCACCTTGACAGCATATCTTACGTTGGATAACACGAAGAGAAAAATTTGAAGTTGCTCTTCATCAATACAGCGTTATGAAACAAATATCGCCGTCTGCCTTCGTTTGAACTAAATTTTTGTTGGTTGCGTATTTCACTTGATAGGAAACACCTACACGATTTCACGTCACGTTATGACGAAAAAAATTTAGCGTCACGCAATCAGTACCTGTTTGACAAGATTTTGAGAACACGTGAATTATTAATAAAATTTTTGATATGATGAAGACTAAACTTTCCGCTCTCGAGCCGGCGATTTCACTTTTCTTTCTGCCTGTTCATACACTTAAGCTCAGGAAGAAGTGAAAGCTATTAACGACCTGGACAACAGTTACTTTTATTGATCTCACATCAACTTCAGGTAAGCAGTTTTATTTCTTGTATTCAAATCTTAGAGCAGAAAAGACCGGCCGGCGTCACATAATATTGCGATCGCCCCCGTAGTCGGCGAAATTTCTATCCCAGGTTTAGTTTACTATATATCCAATCTGACATTATATCGCTAAGTGGCATCTACTCTTCATGAAAGATCAGACAGGCTTGATGTTTTCATCGAAAAAAAAAAAAAACCCGCCGGTATTTCTACCCCTTGGGGTTTGATTCTGTAAATAAGCGAATTATTCAATACGGTGCAAGCAACAATTAAATAGGCCACGAATGTCAACAGTTTTTAGCCATCATGGTGTTTTAATCTACACATTGACTTACCATAGTACTAATATTCTCGATAATATTAAAACAGAGTGCAGAAAGATTTTGATTTGATACGAGTCGGTGATTGTAAGGCCTTAGCCCAGCTTAGCCCGAAATTGCGCGAAATGATCGGAAGTTGCAAAAAACATCGCTATTCGAGTGTGAACAACACGAATGTGTAACGCAGACATGTTTTTTACAGTGTCGCGTTGTTTTTTCATCGTTTGGCCTTTACTAATGTCGAAATTTTAATGACCCTCTACCGTCGTTCCGCGCACGACTGGAAAGAATTGGTTATTGGGAGGTAACCGCATTATATACACTTAAAGGGAGCCTTGGTACAAAGGTCGGTTACCAGGGGTGTGTGTTGGACCGAAAAGGTAAACACGCCACATCACGCCACTCCTGTCACGATATGATCACGTGCAATGGCTCGCCTCTTTGCTGTCTTTGTTGCCGGATACCCCAGGCAAGCGACTGATTTCTCGTGTTATCCTCGCTTATTTCTTGCGCGTTTGGTCGTTTAAGCAGTACAAAACTACTGTTGCGTCAAACTTTCCAGCAAGGAACGCGGGCCCACATACGACTGGAAACAAGGGAAAAATTTACACCACCCCACCCCGTGTAGTTTTCTCCTCTCTCCCTGTTACTTTGTTTTCAGTGTCACGCAATTCAAAATAGATCAAAATCAAAATCAAAACCAAAACCGTTCAATAGATAAAGTCCAGAATCTGGGAAATGAAAGAAGGTAGATATGCAAAGACTCTAGCCAAGATTCTGGTCACAGCAATTTTTCTTACGCAAGATATGCAGAGAAATTTTTTACCCAAATTTATAGAGATTTGTATGGAGACACCTTGCTGGTGCCCATCCGTATGGGCACCAACATGGCGGCTGGAAACCAACAGAAACATCTGTCACTGAGTTTTGCTACAAAAGCGTGAATTTATCCCTTGAGGAACTCTTAAACATTAAAATAATACTTTTTCTAAGACATTAACTGTTCAGATAGCCAAATTCCCCGAAATAAGTCACTTTTTTAACCATCATGACAGCTCTCTAGGCTGTCATGTAAATGGCGAGTCACGCAAAAGCTTAGATATTCAAGCGTAGTGTATCACAAAGCCAAGAACCCATTTGGCACGAAAATACGTACGAGTATTAGTTTTCAGCTGCTCTTATACATCATTAAAGTAAACTCTCAGGAAGATCAATAGTTTTGTAGTTTGAATTTTAGTGATGTCATGTGAAAACCAGCTATACTTTCGTACAGCGAGTCATAGTTGTGGTGAAGACTCAAAAGCCTTTTCAATAGCCTGTGTTACTTTGTAAGTTAAGAGACATCAGCTTGAACTGTACTTGTGTGAACTGAGCAAGACCACGAAATTTTTTTCTGGTCTTTTATAATTGCCAATAAATTTTGTAAATTTTCTAAGAACTTGATAAATAACATAAACTTACAGCTGCATGTATTTTGTCGGTGGTTCTAGAAAATATCCCCTCCTTTGGAAGGTTTTGCTTCTTACTTTGCGTTAAAACTTTTTATGGCCTTCCTTTGGGTGGATATGACAACTACATGCACAAAGTGATTGAAACCTTGGCATAATTTTTGATATTTTTTAAACAACATTCAGGGAGGAACATTCAGGGAGGTGACCCTGTAAACAGAGCTGTAGATCTCCCTGTAGAATTAGCCTGCATAGCAGACATTTCCTTACCTTTTTGCGGCAGAGAGAACAAACAAGCAAAAAGGTAAGTGGGTGAGCGAATGAGCGCACCTGGGGTGAGCAAAAAAATGGGGAGAAGTGGGGAGGGGGTGCTCCTTATTGTTCGTACTGGCTCGTAGCTTTGTTCCGGTTCCCTTTCTAAGCTTTTTTGGAAACATCTGCTACAAAGGTTATTCCAGAATCAAATTTAATGCATTACCAAGCAGATGTTTACAATATAAATAAGTAAAGAGGCTAGTCTCCTTTGCAGCTGTTATTAGGGTCATCACACAATGCTTCTTGCCCGCTTGCAAAGGAGACTATTAAGAGACTTGACAACTACTGATCTGTTGTTACACCAAATTCTCAAATCTGAACTTGAAAGAAAGTGTGGCACCCTCTAAGGAGAATTAATGTTTTGACTCTGCTTGGTACTGAACTTGGTACTTCATTTCAGTTCACCCCTTGTGCTCGTCAACTCCTAAACTTTCAAAGCAACCATGAATCAGTCAGAAGCCCCCTTTGCCAGGAGAACTCTGAGGCGGGTTGTAGAGAAGAGGACAGGACAGCACGAATTTTCAGTTGTCACCTATAACATCCTTGCTGACTTTTGGCTACAGCAGAATGTAACGAAAAAAGGCAGCTACAGCTATTGCCCAAATGCCTACAAGTACAAGGGACAAGGAAAAAGATCCCATCGGCATAATCTTTTCATGGCAGAGGTATACAAACAGTGACAGATCCAGTCCCATCGAGCTCCCGAGATCCAAACATGATGCCCTGAAGGGCCTAATAAATTTCCCCTCTTCCCTCACAAGAGAGTCCCTAAGTGTTCTCTACCCCTTTGGTGAAACCTGGATCCAGCACTGCAGATTCTAAACAAATTTATTCCTCAAATCAGGCATGCACCAATGTGAAAACATCTGGTCACAAGTGACCATGCTAAAATTTGAGCACACATCAGTGGTGATTGAACGTGTGCCCAAAGCATGGGTACAACAATAACAATTTGCAGTGAACAATTTCTATTGTTCATGGCACCAATTCTCATACACACAAGTTGTACCAGTCCCAGACATCCTTGTCTCATAAATTTCTAAATTTCAAAACATAAAATAGATGGGTGTAGGATGTACATTATGTTAATTTCACTGTTCAGTTCTACCCAACCCACTTATACCATCTTTTTTTTTTCTTTAGCTCCAATGGCTCAACAGCGATATTATCTGCCTACAAGAGGTAGACACATCCTATTTTACTGAGACCCTTAAAGAGGAGCTGTCCAAGTTGGGGTATGATGGCCATTTTGCAGAAAGATGTATGGGGGAGCCTGAGGGAGTGGCACTGTTTTTCAAGAGGGACAAGTTTCACCTTGAAGGAATGAATAGTTTTCATTTGAATGATCTGGCGGCACGCAGTTTCAAGCAGACTGAAATTCCTAAGTTTGCCGAGGTTGTACTTCTTGCCACCTTAAGACACAAGACTAGCAATAATCTTCTGGTGATGGGTAAGTATATTTTTAATATACATTTACATCACTGGAGATGATGCAATTACATGCAATTTTGCTCAATACTTATTTCCTAAAATTATACAGTCAAAGTTTTGGGAAGTTGTCCTATTACTAGAGATAACATAACAGTGCTATGAGTTTAAGCAAAGCATGATACATGACTTTTGGAATAAACTGTGTGAAAGGAGACAGTGGAATTTCCCACCTTTCAGACCTTCTTCAACTGATTCTGACAAAAAAAACACTGCCTCCTTATATTCCGGGTTCCAAAAATATGACATGGTTCTTGGTAATTTCTAAAGGCAAAGTGTCAACAAGGAATTGCATTGGGTCAATAGATCAGGCTTCAGCTCATCAGAGGTTTCTCATGCAAGGTCTGGTAGCCAGCCAACTTTGTCTAGTTTCTGACCTGAGACCCCTCCCCCACCCCTCTCAACCTTAAGTGGGTAGTCTAAAAGTTACAAATGAGTGTGACCTTAAGACAGTGCCCCCTTACAAGACTGAGAAATGTGTGCTTTTCCATAACATTGCAAGGAAATGCAGTGCTTTTTTGTGGCTGGAAATGCTGTATCTTATAGCAGTAGTAAGAAGCTCTACAAGTATCATGGCTGTGCTCTAGAATCGCCCAGATGCTACAGGCAACTAACTTTTGGCTTTGGGCCATTGGAAAAACTTACTTTTTTCATGTAAGCTCAAGTGCTGGGCGCCCAAGATTTTACAGCTAGGAATCTCTGGGCTAGTCCATGTAATTTTTCTTAGACCACAGCCTTAAGTATGCTGCTGGAACCTCATATCGGTGTCCCCTTGCATTGTCCCCTTATGGGCTTATAGATGGATTTAGGCGAGCTCCTGATTAAACAATTAACCATAAATGGAAAGAGGATATTTTTCCCTGGGTCAGAAACTCAAAAACTGACCAATTCTGAGTAGACAATTGTTTGCGTATGTTGTGTGTGGTTTCACTATTTTTCCTAGTTACATTTTAACAAACAATACCTAAAGAGCGTACCCAAGACTGTAGAAATTATGTACGCAATACATCAGGGACTTCCAAGAGACAATTATGCAAGGAATATGTCCAAAGAAAAGTCAACAACACATCAGGGTTTAATTCATGCGAAAATGTTGCCTTTGCATGTACTCCCTCCCTCTCCCCCAGAGTAACAACCTGGCTTGAGCCTGCAATCCAATCAAAAACCCAGTACCTGGTCAGCGGTCAACTTAAAAAAAAAAAACAAACAAAGCGACCTCTATGAACTCTTAACCTGAGCCCACAATACAGTCATGTGATACTGGTCAGCAGATACCTTGTTTTGACAGCTGTCAATTAATTATAACATGGATGTCCAATATCAAAGATGTACCTATTGTAATGGTGCTACTCTCTTATTTTTCAAGGTATGGGGCTTGGTATACGGATGGACAGACGTACACACGTACAGTCACATGAACAACCAAAATTTTTGAGATCGATGGGTTACCAAATTTTCTAAGGTATGGGGCTCTGCTCGTGTGCCTTCGGCACACAGGAGCTCCACTATAATTTTACAATAAATGTAGTTGCATACTTTGTTACAACACTGTTCCTTACATTTATTGCAGGTACTACCCATATAGAATGGGGACAACAGCTTAAGTCTGTCTCACAAGTCTGCCAAATAACAATTGTCACTAATGCCCTTCATGACATGGTTAAATCACTCAAGTCAAAAGGTGAACAAGGGAGTTATATTCTGTGTGGAGACTTCAATATTGAACCCCAGTTTCCTGCTTATCAACTTCTAAAGGAGGGGGAACTGACCAATAAGGAAATGACAAGACTTAAAGGTGTTGATTACATAAGATGGGGTCTTGACAGTCTGGCACCATCACAGGTATGTTATTTATCTTTAATGGAGTAATGTTGATTTTAAATACTCTCCTGTTCTCCTTCTTCACAATTAGTATTAAGTACCTTTAAGACTTTTCCCACCCACCCACCCCCCTTCCCCACACACTGCCACAAACCTTATTTTACATCATTAGGCTACAATTAGGGTACATGTGGTTGTTGACCATTGCAAGACTCTCAGATTCAGTTTAATTCAGTTAATTAAATATTTCCACTTAACAAGCTAAATAATTGATAAAAACGTTACTAGTATGCCGGAAGTACTTGTACTTTGTGTGCTTAGATGAACTTTTGTGCAGTGCTGTTCATGTAGTTGTATTGCAATGTTTCAATGCCCATGCTCAATCTTTTCACATTCCTTTTCTTCCAACCTTGCATTGTTCAGAACCAAAATTTAATGAAAGCTTGATATTTAATTTTTACTTTTTGAACAAGTGATTGCATGAATTTTAAATTACAGTAATTTTGCAAATAACATCATGAAACAGTATCTACCTGCACCATGCAGACTGTTAAAAGTCACTGTAAAATCAGATACCAAACTTGTAATTTTTACCTTTATTTTATCCATACAGCTGCTACCAGATCAGGCATCACTTTTAAACAGGACCAAAACACAAATCTGTAATCCTCTTAAGAACCTGCAAAGTGCTTACAAGAGTGTTCTGGTGAGTTATGTACAGAGTGAATTGTAAGGCTGCATGGCCTTCTTGTCTGCACACTCAGCTCTGGTGAGAGTACTCCAGGTTGGGGCCCTTGTGGGAGCATCCCTCACTAGATGCACTTCTAAAAATCCAGTGCTCTTTACATCACCGAGACTCTTTTAACAACTGTAAAATATGCATAATGAGTGCTTAATGTTAGGGTCCAATAACTATATACTTATGAGTATAGACATGCACATGCATATCACCTGGATTTGTGCAGCTTAAATTCAAGACTAGAGAGGTATATTTGACTGGGGGCAGATTTTCATATTTTTGGAACTAGTTAACAGCACATTTTTAATATTTTAGGGAGCTGAGCCTCAATGTACCAATCATGAAGGGCCAGGGTCCATGTGGACCCTAGACTACATTTGGTATGATTCCGTGAACCTGGAGGCCACAGCAGCCTTGGAAACAGTTACCCCTGCTATGATTACACCATACACTGGCCTGCCAAATGAGTGTTTCTCATCAGACCACCTTTCATTAAAGGCATGCTTCAAGTTCACCACCGACAAAAATCTGATTTCTCAGGATGAGCTTCAACAAGGCGTATGAGAGGGTAGTCTTGGGGTTGGGGCCGTTTTCTACTGTATATATGTACAGTTTAAAACTCTGGGTGAAATTCAGTTTTATTTAAAAGGATTTATTAGAAAGATTTATTAAAAGGATGAAATTTTCAAGTTCTTAATTTAAAATCGCAAAGTTCTCCTTGGGCCAGACCTTAAGATGTTTGATTTTTTTTTAAATTCATTGCACAAGGTACCAAGCAGAACAATGTGTAGAAGAATTCAAGAAAGCTAAATTTTCTCATTTTTTACATCTTAAAAGGTGCTTTTAATATATTTCTTTTTAAATCAAAGTGTGCAAGGTAACATGGTGAATTTTATGTACATAAAAGAAAATAAGGCCCAGTTCAGCTGTCATGCTTCTTCTGTGCCAAACTTAATTGCAATTTGGTTTGACTGTAGCACGGTAGGAAAACAACTCCGATTTGGATGTCGTGCCAGATTCAAACCAAATTCAGCATTTACTGACACCTCTTAACAATTCTCCTCCCGACTCCCCATGGGAATGCACTCTCGCCAAAATACAGTAACATAATTTATGAACTTATTTTGTCTTTATCATTTAAAATGTACATCTATAGTTACAACTAGTGTATTAATTAGTGTAATGATGGTGTACGTTTACAGAGAAATTTAAAAGTAATTTAATTGATAATATCACATTATATGAGAGTAAGAATGGTAAATAATAAAACTTCAAATTGAAGATAGCAATTATTCTTTTGGTTTCATTAGGGAACTTTCAGCAGAACTCTCTGGTTGATATTCAAATAAGGGTGGGAGTCAGAGAAAGCATATAGTTGTTGCCTAGCTTCCTCAAGGGGGTGATGGGGCATACTCCCCCAGAAACTTGGAAGCATCTTGCAGTCACATTTCCCTTGATACAGTGGAACCATCACCTTTTTAGGTACATTTGGTGGCAATTTTCTACTCTGATACGTAAAGAGCTGTTTTGAATCCAACATTTCAAAACGAAATTCAGCTTGAGAGTGCAAAGGCCAAGTTCCATTACAGAATTTTTCTTGCAATTTTGCACATAATGTTGCCTTGTGTACCATCCCCTGAATTAAATCTGTCTCAACATTATCATTGCAGTAATCATTGCAAAAGATAGAAATTGATTCTACTTTGTACAATGATATTGTAACAGTGCCTTAAAGGTTAGAGACTGCATTTGTTTGCACATGTCTTATAGGACTCGATGTATGAGGCTTAAGTGCTGTGGTTTTAAAGTATGTGCTGGTTTAAATGTATCAATCAATAATTGATTGAATAATTTGAAACTTCAATATCCCTGAACCCAGGCAAAACCCAATAATTTAAACTTTGGAAAATCTTGTTTATGAAATTGTCATCCCAGGGCCAAAAAATAATGGGGTTCAAGAGCCCCATCTTGGAGTCATAGCATACTATCACAAGCCCCTGCTCCCACAGGATAAATATGACACAAAAAGTGACGATAAAAGGAATAATTCATCCCAGAATAACCATTTTGAACACCCTTTGTGTCCTAAGTACCATTTTTACATATCATGATCATTAAAATGCAAAATGATTTACTTGAAGACCCCTCTTTTCAAGTTACCACATTTTCATAATGAAAGTGACACCATGATTTCAAGGCAACTTAAAAATCCCTCCCCCTCCCTAATCTCTCCTGAATGGTGTCAAATCCCCCCCAACTCCTGTTGGGGTCACATCAACTTGGGTATGTCAGGGGGGGGGGGGCATGTCTCCAGCTAGTTGGTCAACATAATTTTTTGTTGCCAAGCTTTAGCAAAATTTCCTTTTGGAAGAAATTCAAGATGGCTAAAAATTTCAGAAACCAATTCAATATGTTTACGTCGAATAATGATTTGTCTTGATTTGAGATATTGCCAGGGTACACAGACCCCAGGGGGTACTCCCAGAAACATTGGGTTGGGGTGTGCAGCCTGCTTGCGAAACCCTTATCCTTGCTCTTTATGACGAAAATCTGTTATTTTCCCGACCCTATTTGTGACGTAACCCTCAAATCAATACCCTGTTGCAGAACTGTCTTATAATTAGTTCCCTAGTTCAATCCAATGTTAAATTGCCATTAACATAATTTTTGAAGGGTTTTTGTAGATGGCCCTATTGATAATGACAGAAGTATATCACCTCGAAGCGTCTAAATTCTCTTTATATCATCGGAACTATGCTGGGGTTTTTTAGCTGACCAATCAGAACCACGGAATTTTTTTTGCCCAAATATGGAATCAGCGGATTGAAGGCAAATAATGGTGGCCGCTCTTGGAAACGCTGTGAGAAAGCTCACAAGAACGAAAATTCGAGCAATAAGCCTTGCCGGGAAAGCGCTGTTGGATGAGGACGTCTTTGAAAGGGTCCTATTGATATGCTTCTGATAATGATAAAAAAGTTGCTTCTACTAAAAAACACACCCAAATGAAGACTAGAGTACAATAACCATACCCTACTTATGACCAATATGGCCAAAATCGATACCCTATTTATGACCAAAATGGCTGAAAAACCATACCCCTTGGGGCCGTAATTACCTATATAGCCCAGACCAGAGAGTCCCCCCACCCCCCACCCCGCAAGGGACACAAACTCATTTGGATTTCAAAAACAAGTGTATGCCGTCCAGATATTATCCAGACCCTTTTCTAAAAAAACAAAACATTCTGACACAACATAACGTTTTCGCACATCTTTTGCAAGTGTTTGAAGAAAAAGTACAACGGATGGAGAATTCACGCCAATACGGCCATGTGACACATTAAAATGTTTAAACTTACAACGCTCCCACACACAAGTGAACGAAAAACACACCGTGAAACAAATTAAAGTTATGAGGTACCTTTGTTGTTCTGTTGCCAACATCAGGTCTTCAATGAGTGGCTAAAGAAAGGTTAATTCCATCACTCACCGTCCGCAGATAAATTGTTGCGTATTTCGGCGTCGCATTCTCGCTGAATGACAAGATTAGTGACCTTTCTTGGCAGCGTCTAAATGTCAGAAGCCATTTCCTGAGAATATGTTTGATCCAAAAGTCGTACTATCTAATTATCCGAACTCTTAGAACTTTAAATATACAGCGAAATTTGTTCAATGTCGATAAAATGTAACGCAAAACCTTCATTGCAACTCAGTCCGCCGACAACTCCGCCATGTTCCCCCTGCAACTTGCTTCGCGGCCAAGCTGCAGGCGCCACGCGGCAAATCCCGCTTTTGGCGGGAAACCCGACCACAGTGCGCAACCAGCGCCAACCGTGCTTAGTGATAGCGGTTATCGCGAGTATTTGGCTCTCTTAAGTCTCTCTTATGCTCAGTTTTGTTTACAATGGAACGAACAAAAGAAGTCGACGATCCAAGCAACTTTTTTTTTTTGTTACAATGAAATGCTCCAATTTTGAGGATGTGGGATTTCGCTTTGGAACGTACATCATGGTTTGAAACTGTCTCCCTATGCAAAACATCTTGGCGAAATGTCAGAAAAGAAAAGTTGTCACAAGCGATTTGCAGCCAAGAATATTTCGACAGCCGGGTTGACTTTAAAAAGCTGCAAATTTTAGCGCTTCGAATTTTTTATTCAGGAAGTGTTCCAAAAGCAGGTCACGTAGATCACCTTGTACACTAGGCCAAAGGAATTTAAAAACGCAACAATCACTTTTTGGGATTGTGTTTGAGGAAAACTCGGTCAGGGAAATCACACGATTATCGTGACGCCAAAGTTTTCGAAAGCTCCGTTTACAAAATGCTTCCGTCCACACGAAAACGAAAACCCGACGTTTTCAGATTTCTCCGGTTTGAATACAATTATCGGAAAGCTCCGTTTTCGTGACTGATTAGTGTGGACGGTAGGCTTAACTTTAGAAACATAGCTAAATTTTCAAATTTCGCCGGCGTAGTGTGGGCGCTGCCTAACTTTTTACATGAAAATTCTTCGTAACACTAAGACAATCTGTACAAAAAAAGTCTGCGCTTCAAACTAACAAACAAAGCTTACGTGCAGACGTTCGACATCCTTCCTGCGTCGAAAATCAAAGCAGGAAGGAAATCTTAGGTCTGCAAGCAGCCTTCAGTTAGTGTTCGT